CAAGAGGATCACGATGGTGGTATTTTCAAGGTTGATCTGTGAAGATTGGTAAAGGTCCTTGTTCTTGCAGAGAGAATATAGTGAAAGAGAGCTTACGTGGAGATAGAGAGAAGGGAGAGAGAAAGAGAGAGGTTGAGTGGTTTCTGATTAGGCAGAGAGAGAGAGAGTGGGAGAGGATCTGATTGGTGAGGGAAATTAGGAAAAAGGATTGGTTGTGAGTGAAAATGGGGGGGGGGCACGGGTCCAATTTAAAAAGAACAAAGGATATGCTTTTAAAGATTTCCCACAGTAAAAGCAAAACAGAAAATCTATCTGAAATATTGTTTCTAACACTAATAAAATTAACGCACACCCGTAACGTGTATAGTTTAATTACGATAGCGAGAAAATAACTTAAAGCTAAAATCACGTCCACGTCACTTTGATAACAAGGGCAGAAATGACAATTCACATACTCGGGGGGAAATTACATATAAAATTAGGGACGGGTCGTCACAGTAATTATTGTTGTTAATGGTTCTTTTTTATTCTTTATTATCATTTTTAGAAATTCAAGTATAATTGAATTGAAATGTACCATCGTTCTTTAAAAATAAACATTGACATGTACCAAGACAATTTATTCTCACATTGAAACGTACCTATGCTAAATTAAAATGTATTCATACCAAATAAAAATGTATGCTTACTAAATTGAAATGTACCCATATTAGCTTGAAATGTACCAACAAGTTTTACAGCTACACATAACTTGATGTTAGCTTTTACATACCAAAATTATGATAATATAAACGTATCAATAGCTAGGTATGTATCTAAACAAAAATTAAAAAACATATCAAATACTAATTGGTACATAAATTTGGATTACATAACGTACCAATAATGTACCAATTATGCACCAAATTATTTGTACGTTCTTTTTTAATATATATGGGCATGCATATATATAATGTATGTACTATCATTTGGAGTAAATTGGTCCGTTTAAAATATCACTTTTTTTTTTGGTTAAAAATCATCGTCTTTTTTACACCCACAATTCAAAAGTTTTTTGTTATTATAAATATTTTATTTGTTTTGTTTTGTTTTTTAAGTATATTGAATTAATGGACATAAAATAATTAACAATGTCTTCTTTTGCAAGATTTTAGAAACTTGTTATACATAGGGTTTAATTAGTAAATTAATTATAATAACAATTTGTGTAATTTGAAATTAATTAGTAAATTAATTAAAATTGTAGAAAGTAGTTTGATCAAAATCTCTAAGGGGGCGTTTGTTTCACCTCCTTAGGAGGGACTGGACTGGACTGGACTACAGTCCCATGTTTGATAGGTGCTGGGACTAATTTAAGTGGGACTAAAGGGGACTCGTGTGGACTAGAGGCCTTCTTAAAGGTTCTTAGCGAAGTCCTCCCCAAACCATGGGACTTGCTAAGACCGGCTTCTTCCTCCTCCCTGCGAGCCCCTCTGTGAGTTCTGGGCTTCTTCCTCTGCTCCTATGTTTTCACAAACGCCGAGAGCCACCATCATTCCCCCTCGCCAATTCCCCTTTCCCCTCCTCATCTCTCCTCGCTTTCTCCTCTTTCTGCTCCGTCGAGATTCGAGCTCGGCTCGAACTCTGCTCAAACTTGGCCGCGACGGCAATAATTGCTCCATCCTACTGGTACTGTAGTTTTGCTACCGCGGCGGCGACTAAGTAGCGGTCGGCTTCTCCTGCGCAGAAGATATTCTAAGCACGCTCGAGAATTGATGTAGGCCAGTTCCGCCGCTCCACAGACTTGCGGCTCCGATTGAACCCACAAACTTGGAAAGCTCTCTCCAGTTGGAATCTTGCATCGAACAAAAACCAAAAAAACCAAGCTCGATTTTTCGTTTTGCAGAATTTTTTTTGGCAATTAATCAGAAAAAAAAAAGGAAAGGGAAGGAGAGTGTGGGACGGAGAGAACGGGGAATAAAAGGATGGAGGCTTTCAGAGAGAGGGAGAGTATTATTAGGAAAAAAAGAAGAAGATAGAATTAATTAATATAATATTATTAGATATGAATTAAAAAATATAAAATATTGTAGTTTGTCATTATCCTTCTTTTTAGTCCGACACTGCACCAAACGCTTCACTAAGTCAATCCAACTTAGTCTAGTCTAAGCCAGTCCAGTTTAGTCCCTAAAGCTAATCCAATCCGAGATAGTCTGGTGCAACAAACGCACCCTAAAAGACTTATGGCTTGTTTGGTATTGTTGTGCTTTTCAAAAAAATTGTTTCTACTGCACTGTGAGAATAAACAACTGTAAAATAAAGTTGTTAAGTGTTTGGTATTTTTTTTTTGTAAAAGTGCTTTTAACAAAAAAAAAAAAAACAATGTATGAGTGTTTGGTAAGCTTTTATATAAAATTGTTGTAAATATGTTAAATGACTTAAAAGAATATGGTACAAATGTTAATAATTGGCAAATAGAATAATGCAGAGGTAAAAATTGTAATTTTGTAAAATATATGGGGATACACTTGTTATTTGAAAATTTCATTAAATGGGCACTGTTGTCTTCATTTGAAAAAAAAAAAACACTTTTCTTAGAAGCAATGTTTTTCTATTGTCATTAGCAGCAGTTTTTCATAAAAAAACATTTTGATCAAAATGCCCAATGCTTTTCTACTTTTTTTAGAAGCATCACAACCCCTTAGATGTTTAGCCTAAGAAATTCAAACCAAGTATCCAGATCAAAATGCCCCATTTTTTTAGCTTTAATTTGGTTTATTATATGTACATGTAAAAACTAGATTTAGTCGATTAGGGATTCAAATATATTCATATATATATATATATATATATATAAGCATATGTATAAAAACAATGGAATTTTAACGAGAAACTCCCGGTACTGTTCACTTTAACGAAAAACCACATTTTTACACTAAAAAGTCAATCATGATACTATTCATTTTACTCTTTATTTTGTCCTTATCGTTAAATCTCAAAGTTTTCAAACCTTTTTTATTAGTTTTCCTTAAAAACAATGGGAAATAACAACAAACAAAAAAAAATGTGGAATCTAGTAACGTGTAGCAGCAAAAGCAATAACAAAGCAAACAGTTGATTTGGATGTTGGATCGATTACAGAGAAAGAAGAAAAAGGAAGGCGTGGCCAGCAATACAGAAGAAATCGGGCGGCGGGCACAGTTGCATGCAGCGGCAGGATGTGAGGAATCTTTACTCCATCTATACAAATCTGGGTTTAATTTAGTTGACGGTTCGGGTGTATAGGTCGGACCACAGACTTTTGTTTTTCGCTTTTTCAGAATAGTGCTGTAGCTACGTGCTATCTCTGGGATTCTCTCTTCTCTCAGATGTTGAAACTGGACTGTTTTTAATAACAGAATCTGGTTTGTGCAGTCCAGCCGTAGTTAGAGTAACCACAGAAAGAGCATGATCAACACTCGAGACAAATCGAGGAGCCAACTCCAAACTCAGAACATGAGTAAGAAACTAGGAGAGAGTTCACCAACAACGAGAGTTTTAATATTTTTTTATATGTTTAGATGTTTAGTTAGGCATAGAGTCTCTTAAATATGATCATCATGCGTGCATTTGGTAAATAACTGAAAGCATGTTTGATATCCTTCTTGAAATGATGTTCAAAGACCAAATTTAACTGATATTTGTGTTCAAAGAAGAAATACATACACACTATGATAAAAGTTTAAGGACTAATTCTAATTTCACATTAAAAAAATGGTGAATGTAGCTATAAATTACCTAATACTCATTAGTTTCACAAATAAAAAATTAGATCCAATAATAAACCAAACAACATTGTGGAGATTTTTATATTTACTCATACGTGATATAGATAATACAAAAGAAATTTGCAAAATATGATGTCCAAAGGCCCAAACAGAAAAGAAAAAAACATCACAAACCTCGCATCTGCAAAATCTTTTGAATAATAATTCCCAAAACAAAAGCATCACAGATCTAATTCTAAAACTGGAAAAGCCGATCTTTTATATTTGTCTCTTGTCATTAACCATTCTTTTATGATGTCCATGATGGTTCAAGAGGATGGAGAAAATTTGGGAAGAAAAACAGATGAGAGAGAGAAAGGGAGGGGAAAAAAATGAACAATTAGATTAATTAGTAGGAAAAATAACTGTGAGAGTTTTAAATATAAAAAAATAATATTTAAGGCTTACCATGTAGCGAGTTTTGAATTATAGTGTCATTCAGTAAGGTACACTACAGTGACAAGTAAAGGCCCACACAAGTTTTTTTTCCTTATACTTAACTTATGAATAACATAAAATTTCTTCCATATATTTGAGCCCACTTATCTTATGATATTTTGCAAATACGGAAATCTAGGATACATATAAAGAGTAATGTTAGCGAGACTAACTATTTTGACCAAATTTTGTAAACCATATGATATGGTTGTTGATGATTAAATTATTACTTAAATGTTGATTAACTTGCTTATTACCTATTGGCTATTGCTATAGGTGACACATTATATGGTTTACAAATTTGGTATAAAAAGTTGGTCAGTCTAGCATTACTCACATATAAAATGCTCTTTTCTACCCAAAATGAAACTGAGATTGGCATAACTCTTTAATTTGGTCCCTAGCAATGAAGGTCGATAGAAGCGATCCTGAGTTTGTTCACCAAATATCATTTGGTCATTCCGTGAAAATCTGTCAATATCCTCGTTAAATTGTCGCGTGAACGACCACAGGTTCACATGACAACCTTTTTAAGGGTATTTTTGTCAAACAAACAACTCTATTTAATGAGCCTATTGATAGATTTTTTTTTTCTTCTGGAATGACTAAAATGATTTACGATGAACAAACTCATAAACCACTTCTATGAATTTTCATTGTTAGTAATTAAAGTAACGAGTTATACAAATCTTAATGATCACTTTGACTATAAAAAACTTAAATGCTCACGGGGTAACTCTCATGAACTGACACAAAACGCATGCATATATATATATATACATACAAACAGGTTAACCTTCTGTTATAAGATTTTCTATGATCAAAATCAAAATAAATCCAAAATATAGTTTACAAAACATATAATTCATCTGCAAAACTGAACAGAAAAAAACAGGAAAACAACAGAAAAATCTTTGTCATCAGAATCGAGCGATTGAAATATTTCCCACCATGCAAGCATGAATGATCACGTAGCTCGATCAAAATACATATTATTCATCATGTCTTCCTCTTTGACATAGAAGTAGAGTTCCCATCAAACAAATCATCGATCAAATTCTCAATGTCCTCCGGTTGGTACTTTATATACTTCTCGGCCTGCTTCCCTCCCTCCAAGTACTGCTTGAACCTCCCCCAGAACGACCGGTACGCCGGAATCATCACCGCCGACAAGGAAACCCTAAGCTCCGACTGAAGTTGCTCGTCGCTCACCACCCACGTGCTCTGCGTCTTGTGTATCTCGTCGAACAACGTGTTGAAGCACTTAAACCGCTCCTTGATCACCGTCTTCGACGCCTCCCGTTCACCTGCAAACCCTCGTGGTTCAGGCAATGCAAAATCCTACCCCACGTCTCCCTCTGGTAGTTCTTATGGTACCCCCTCAAGTCCGTCGACCGCTTCCTGCACCACGTGTCGCCCATCAGTTGGTGAATCTCTGTGGACCCCTTCACTTTCTGCATGATGTACCGCCCGTTGTTCATCAAGAAGATAAATCGCAACGCCGGGTCCCGGTACAGCTTGGACCTCATGTCCAGGTTGGCATCCAACATGTCCATAACGGTTAGTAACTGAATTTGGAACGGCGACGACGTCGTTCCGGGCGTGTCGTTCGTTTTTTCGTACTCCAGGAACACTTGCTCCAACGAGTCCTTGTACTCGCAGGCGTATTTTAAATAATTCATGACATAGCGCGTCAACGGGTGCACTGCGCCACTGGGGACCGGGGTTTTTCCATTGTCGCTTTTGATCGAATTTTCGAGATCGCAGAAGATGCTGACTGCGGTCTGGCCGATGCGGTTCCGTGCTGCCTCGGCTTCCATCACTAGCTCTTTTCCGATCTCCTCTGGGTACGAGTCGCGGATTGCCGGGACCAGATCCCGAAGCGTCTCGTACATGTCGAGCATCTTGAACAGCTTCTCCGGCGACCGCTTCGTCAAGACGACGGCGTCGGCGAAGTTGAAGAGCTGGATAGCGACGGCGCGGGCGAGGTTGCAGAACAGGGACTCGGACAACGACCTGTGGCCGGCGAACACGGCGTCGCAGAGCTTCCGCTCGCCGGAGAAGTGGACGGAGGAGCATAGCTTGACGACGCTGATCCACGTGGCGATCTCCCCTTCCAGTGACTCCCACTGCATTCTCTGGACCTCGTCGATGGAAATGTTCTCGTATCCGAGATTGTTGAGCGCCAATTTGAACGCGTTCCGCCTCGAAATGCTGTAGACCATGCAGCACTCGTTCCCGTAGCCGGCGGCGATCATCGTGGAGGCGATTTTGTTCATAATGTTGATGCTCTCATCCGAAAACGAAGGAAACTCATCTAATTTGTCGGGTTCGGATTCGGGTGGCTGTGCTTGTATGAACAGACACGAATCGTGAGCGGAGCTGCTGTTGCTGTTGAAGGAGGAGAGCTTGGAGGTGATCCGACTCGAAAAGCTCTGGTCCGGGTTATTATCCGGCTTGGCAGTGCTCGGATCCGGTTGATCGAGGCTGAGATGGTTGCGGAACTCCTCGTCCAATAAAGCCATGGCACGTTGCAGGACGGTGCTGGTCCGATTGAACGCTGTGGCGGTCGTGGAATTGGACGGGAATTCCTCCAACACCGTAGCAATTTTGGAAATGCGCGTCACGGATTCGACGAACGGCGCGTCGTCTTCCTCGTTCTCGCCGAACCGGGCCAGGCCCCTGCCGTATTTTGTTGTCATGGAGTCGACGGCTTTGGATAGCGACTCCACCGATGAGGGGACCACCTCCGGCGGAGTCCATATTTCTTTAGATTCGGAAAAGGTTTCTAGGAAGTGATCGACTTCGTCCAGAATTTCCTGAAAGCTCAACTCTGCCGCAGGATTGGAGGAATTGTTGGGGTCATCGGGACGATCCTGGGCGCCGGATTCTGATGGGGCATCCTCATCGATGGTCTCGTATCGCTGCCTCGGGGTGGCGGGACTTGAGAAGAGATTCTTGTTGCTGGAACGTCTTGAAAAACTGACAGACTTTTCAGGCGCTGCCGCGTTTTTCTCCATCAAGTCCGTTCCGTTCCTCCCAGTACTCACTTTTGATTAGCCCTTAATCAATATAGTTAGCCTCTAATCAAATTTCACGCAAAAAGAAAAAGTTGATTACTTTTTCTGGAGAAGAAAATGGGGAATTTCGGGAAATGAGAGCAAGTGGAAGAATGAGGGGATCCACAACGGCAGGGAAGGGAAACGAGTGAAGGAGAATTTTTCCGAGGGAGATGGGAAAATGAAAGGGGACGTACGGATAGGAACGGATTTTGATTTTGTTTTTCGGTATTTTTGTTTTGAGCTAATTTTGTTTTGTTTTGTGTCGGGATGTTTTTGGAAGGACCGGATCGGAAAAAACGTTTCTAATTTTGTTTTAAAATTTGGAATCAAATTTGATCACAAATTTTTTTTTTTTGGAGAATGATTTCATTACAAATTTTTAATTTGAAAGTTTTCACATATTCGCAAGTGGCTTTTAGCACAGTGGTAGAAAAGTGTTGACCCCTTGCATGACGATGTGGATTAAAACCCCATTGGTGGCTAATCTAACAAAATCTATCATTTGACAAAAACAAAAAATGTTTTCACATATTCAAAAATCTTGAAAATTTCGAATCCCGGAAACATAATTCGAAATTTCATATATTTCACAAGTTTTCTAATATTCCTCTAACTTTTTCATACATGAATTTTTTTTTCTTAATATTTGATGTATGCTTATGTATAAATTTAATTAATTTTGTTATGTTTATACTTTTTAATATATATAAAAGGATATTTAATATGAAATACATAAAAAACTAACAATAAAAATACAAAAGTTCAGTACAAATTATATAGTTTGAGCAAACAACTATAAAGATGAGAATATTTTGAAAGTTTTTTTATTGGAATAAGTTCATAACACTTTGAAAAAATAATTATGGATCGAAAATCTCTAATTTTCAAAATCTCTAAACGTCTTCTAATTTCCATTCCTAACTTCGAAAAATATTCAAATTCTGAAGTTTTTGGTCGGATTCGAAAGTTTTACCATCTGAATTGGAAACATCATTCAACCTGCACCCTAGCTTTTGTTGTTTGGGAGATATTTTTCAATGTGACCGGCACACGAGATGGCACACCACTTGTCATTATACAAATAATGAGATATGTGTGTTAAAAAGTTAATAACTTAAAAAATAAAATTTTTCACCATTTACGTAAAAACACGTGAAGTACCACTCGTGTTCCTATCATAATAAAAAATTTCTCGTTGTTTGGGACATTAATTTTCATTGGGGAGGTGGAAGGTGGCTTGTTGACCGTTGACCTGTCATTTGTGCTTCCCACGACCATTCCACTCTTTCTGCAACACAACTAAATAATTGAGGCTTTGTATATGAAGATCATGAGAGGAATCCAATCGTGCATCCTCATGTTTAATTTGGCACGAAATCTGATTGTTTAATTGGAGAGGAGTGGTCACGTTGTGTTGTTTTCTAATTTTAAATGTTTGTCACATGTTTCTAATACAAAGGTTAAAAAAAATATTTGTCACATAGTAGCTTTTAAATTCCAAGCATAAGTTTGATTTAGTTTGATTCAGCTCTCAAATTTTGATTAAGTTAATCAACCATTAAGAGGTGCAGTTTGGTTCGATTTAAACCAATTATGGAACAAGTGATGGGTGGTTTGCGAATATGACTGATGAGAAAAAAGCCTCTTTCGTGCTTTATGAAGAAGTCTTACAAATCTGGCTATCCTATGAGCAATAGTAACGCTAATGTATTCTATCGACCACCAATGGGCACCAATATTAAACTGCATCTAATTTTGAACTTGGCCCGGTTCGTGCCCACCGCTAATTTTAAGCTTTGTGCCTCTACTTCTTCCATCATTATGAATGTCATTATCTCATTTTGTTTAGAGCAATTCCACCCCATGAAAATAGCTTCGGCTATTGGGCAATTTAATCCCCCAACCTCCCAAAACCACTCCAACCCTACCCAATTAAATGGGCTCCAATAGAGCTCGACTCCACACACAGGGTAGAATTGCCTAATCCACAGACTGAGTGGATCTGTCGTTAGCTTGGTGTTTGCCACCTTTTTATATTTTTTCTGCCTGGTGCGTGAACTACACGCGAGAGAAGTGGCAAGTGGCTCGACAAAAAAACAGGACTGGGGCTATCGGGCAGGCGCACTCAGCCCATCCATGAAGTTCGTATAGTGAAGATTGTTAATCATAAGTAGGAGGGACAAGTAAGTTCTTCAATACAATTATTATCCTAGTGATTACCAATAAGAAAATATCAAAGTGCCAAAAACAAACCATACTACTTACAAGCAAACTCCAATCAAACCATACTACTTACATATTGGTTCAGTTATGAAACATAGGCCCAATGCAAAAATTGAAGGCCTGAGGGCCTGGGCTAATATCGGAAACGTCAATTTGGATCTCTGTTTGGAGTTCTCAGCCACACTGGGATCCTGAAATTACGTTGTATTGTCAAATCTGCATCTGCAATAATCCTAGGGCTGCCAATCATACGCGTCGCAATCCAGTGATGCATTTAACCGAATAATAAGTAACATGTTTGACTTATTGGTGAAAGTATCTTATTGAAGAATGTTTGAGTATGTACTGGTGTATATTGTACACTAAAATCCTCAAACGTTGAATTCTGAACTGTTGAGTCATTTACTTGACATTTAACTACTTCGATACATGCTATATATCTGAGCATGGTCTAATGTCAATCGCGAAAGGAAAATGCTTTTGTCTATAAACCGAACCGATAAGCTAAACTCCGAACCAATGTATTGGTCACAACGTCGCAAAGGAATCTTCACTGTAGAGTCACAACGTCGCAAAGGAACCTTCACTGTAGAGTCCGACAAGCACGACAAAAATTGGAATATCAAGTTAAAGGCTGCCTGCCTGAGACTACAACAACAATCAATCACGACCCTCCCATCTCTGATCCCCACCCCCATTTTTGGGCCTCCAATGCATGGCTTTGGAATATTGTCGGTGCTTACGCTAGCTATTTCCAATAATTCAAAAAAAAATTAATGAAAAAAGTTTTAAAACTTTGAGTTTTAACGATAAAAATAAAATAAAAGGTAAAGTGAATAGTACCAGGATTGATATTTTAATGTAAAAATGTGGTTTTTCGTTAAAGTGAATAGTACCGGGAGTTTTTCGTTAAAATTCCCTAATTCAAACTCTCTATATTAAGGATTGAAGAAAAATTACTCTCCACACACATAAGTATTTTCTATATGTAATCACAACTACAACCATGAACCATCAAATAATCGATCTGCCCTAGATTCTATTTTGTTTTTATAACGAAAAGACAACGGTTTTATTATAATGATAAAAACTTATACAAACATCAACGAAGATATTTTGAATAAAATCCAAGAGGCTCTCAATCCAAAGAGACTTCAAGAAAACATAAAACTCCAACTTGGCCAAACTAGTCTCCTATTTCCATTAGCACATGTATAAGTGGAGATTAAGATTTTGTATTTTTTGAAGTGCTATCATTAAGGTATTTAATTATAGATATGCAGTGACATTAATGAAGACTAATGACGATATGAGTACATTGAGTAGTGAACTAACCAAGTTCCCAAAGTATTGATAAAAAAACGAAAGGGAGTTGTCAAATGCACTCTGAAATAGTCATCTTATACACTACATTAGTAAATAAGAGATTTCATAATGACTATGTCAGAGTGCTAATAAAATCTCTCAAATGAAATGTATAAGGTATTTTAGTATCAAAAGATGATTACTTAGTAAATATCATGAATTGCCACGTCACTAAAACCCGAGATGCTAAGAACTTCTATAACAACTCACTCATGCAATAATTTGTCAAAACCATATAGTATACGAACCCACCATTAACACCAATTGAATTTTCATTAGAAATGTATAAGAGGTTAAATCAATGGCTTACGGAATGCAATGTCTTTCTCCGTTTATCAGACACAAAATATCATTTATCCCACTACAAATCCAATATGCTTAATTAAAATTAAAACTTAAAACGAACACCAAAAACTTAGAACAAAATTAAAAACTTCAAGTTGATCGTTTAAACAACACATTCCCAAAAGTAAAAAGTTGGTACAAAAATTGAATAGAGTTCAACATGTTTTAATTGCTTAAATGGCATTGGGTGAAAACCTCAAGTTGGTACTTTGGTGCGTAGCATTATTTATTGGTTTGGTACTGAGGTGCTTTTATAAAGATAGGTATAAAAAAACTAAGTTCAAAAATATGTTTGATAAACACTTCAAAACAGCTTATTTTCACAATTTTGGGTGAAAAAAAACTGAAAACGTGAAGCAGTAAAAATGAGCTAATTCTCACAGCACAACAAAAATAGTTTTTTGTTTCAAAACACAGCAATACCAAACTAGATATCCACAGAGGACAAGCATAGTGCCGCGTAGGGTGGGCCAATCCACGACCGGACCCATTTGGTGCACAGGGCCTCCCTCCAGTCCTCCCTCCCTCCCTCCCTTCTAATTCGTGTAGTCCGCCAATCCCGCCGTTTGTCACGTTTTTGTGCTTAACGGTTCAATCCCATTATCTCAAGAGTGTCTTTGGATCTCTTCCACTAAAGATCACATGATTAAGTGATTCGGGTTTTTAAAATTTCATCTAACGACAAAAAATCATTACACCTTTTAAGGGATCAAAATAGGTGGACCGTTCGATGAAATTTTAAAGACCTGAATTACTTGATCCGGTGATCTTGATGGAAGAAATCCGAAGATTATCTCTTTTCATCCCACACCACTTGTGCAATCACATTTTTCTACTTGAATTATGCTTATTTTTACTTTTCACATATTTTTTTTTGTTTTTTGACGTCAGATTAAAATAATTGAATAAAATTAACCAATAAGACTTAACATCCGAGTGTGAGAAGTTAAAAAGGTACAAAACGTTGGATTTACCTCACTCAGTTAAAAATCAGACTTTTTGCCAAAATCTAGAGGGTAATACAGAGTTGCCATTTAAATTCTTGGTCAAAGTCTTTCCAGAGTTAGAGAGAGAAGAGGAGAGAGAGAGAGGAAGACAAAGCCGGCTCTCTTTTGTTTGAGCTGCTCGGTTTCACTGCCCCATTTAATCACAGATTCTTTTTTGGCACCCAAAAGGATATTTCTTTTTGCTTCCTCTTTGTTATCGTTTATGGTGTATGTGGACTTGGATTCGTTTTGCTTTTGCCCCCTTTAGTTATATCGTCTGCATCTGCTTGCCCTGATCGCTTCAACA